TCTTTTATGTTAATTGAGTTGAATTCATTATCTAATATTAACTTTCTGGGTCTTCCTTTGATAGAAAAGAATAATCTAAGCTTTTCTATAATAGTTATACTGTTTCTATCTTCTAGCTGAAATCCCACAGCAAATTTTGCAAATTTGTCTATAAAAGTAAGGAAGTAACATTTTTTATTTATGTATATATCTGCATGAACTATTTCATTTATATCTGATGGTGTTTTCGTTAATTGAAATTTTGGTTTTAAAGGTTTTCTATCATATTTTGCTCTATTGCAAACATCGCAATTATTTATATATTTTTGAATCAAAACTTTCAAATTTTTCCAGTATATAAGTTTTTTCAATTTTTCATAATTTTCATTAATACCGGCATGGCCTGTTTCATTTTTATGATATTGAGCAATTGATTTGTTTATAAACTTGTTCTTAATTTTTCATATCTTTAGCATGGAGTTCCCATCTAAAAAACTTTACCTGTCTATTAAATATTTTGCTTTTGCTGAACTATATTGTACTGATTATCGGTTAAATAAGAAAAAATACCTACTTTCCCACTATTTATGTGCCTACGACAAAGATCTATGAAATTATTATTTTTTATATCTTCTGCGCTAATAAAAATTTTCTTCGTGTTGCCTAGTTTTTCAGATTCCATAATATTCTTTTTTGTTAAAATGATTTGTGTATTGAAGCGATTTACAATAGTATGTAAAATTGGAAAATGATCATTTAGTTCCTCCTCTTGAGAGTGGATTGTAGCATTTGTGCTTATGTTGTTTTCTTCAAATGAATGAATCTCGTCTGTGTTACTATCTATTCTACTTAGAAAATCGGCTACGTTATTTTCTTTTCCTTTTACGAATTTATATTAATATTGTATTCACCTAGTTTAATTAACCATCTTTGCAATCTTGGGTTAATGTCTTTTCCCTTGTTTTGGAGCCACTTAAGTGGTTGGTGATCGGTTAAGGGATCAAATGCTCTGCCGTAAAAATATGGTCTATAATATGTCACTGCCCAGACAATAGCTAGTAGTTCTTTTTCTGTAGTGGAATAACTTCTTTCGTGTTTGTTTAGTGTTCGACTAGCATAGCTTAGAGGATGACTGTCCTGGGTTAATACTGCGCCAATTGCAAAGTCACTTGCATCAGTTGAAATGCCAAATTTTGTGTTAAAGTCTGGATATTCCAATATTGGTGGGCTTACTAATAGATTTTTAAGTTTTTCAAAGGATGATATGTACTGAGGATCGCGAGTGTCTATTTTGATATCCTTTTTTAAATATTTTGTTAAACCATGTGCTATTTTAGCGTAATCTCTTACAAATTTTCTATAATAACCTGTTATACTTAGGAATGATTTAATTTGCTTTGATGTAGTAGGCAACTTTAGTTTTTGTATGTTTTCGATTTTGCTTAAATTTGGTTGTATCCCTTCTGTTGTTAAAGTGTGTCCTAGAAATTCAGTTGTTTTCCCGAAAAATTTGCATTTATCTACCTGAATCTTTAAATTATGTTTTCTTAATGGTGAAAATATTTTGTTGAAATTTTGGGTATGTTCTTCAATACTTGAACTAAAAATTAAGATGTCGTCTAAATAATCTTGTATCATATCTTGTTGATATATTCCCTAAGAACTGAATTCATTAAACGTTGGAAAGTTGCTGGTGCATTCTTTAGTCCGAAAGGTAATTTATAACTAAAGTGTCCTTGGGGTGTAGAGAAGCTGTTTTAGTCTATCTTCTTCTTTTATTAATACTTGATGAAAGTTTGCAAGATCTAATGTTTAAAATACTATCTTCCAAGTTTGCTGAGTATTGTTTCTATATGGGGTATTGGAAATTTTCATCTATAGTGACTCGTTTACTTCCTGTAGTCAATAACTATTCTCCATTTTTTCATTGAATTGTCTTGCTTTTCGGTAAAACTAAAGAGGCGAGTTGTAATGAGGAATTACTTTCTTTAATTATACCTTAACATCCTCTCTATCTGTTCTACTTTCTTCATGAATTTGGGATATCTATAAATTTTATTATAAGTTACTACCTGTTTTGTAACAATTTCGCTGAATTTCATGAGTATGAGAAAGGTTTTACCTTCTTGGAAAAATAAATGCCATTTGCTTTTAATGTATTCTAACTTTTGCTTTTCTTCATTCATGTCACCATTTGATAAAATATTTCAGCAAATTCTCTTCACATTCTGTATGATATTAATATCTTCGTAATTGTAAGGGCATGATTTTTAAATTTAATTTTGCTGTCTTATTTCTACATACCCTTTCTAAATTAATTATTGCTTAATAGGTTTAAAATGTTCTGCCCATTATAGCATCAAAGTTATTATTTTGATGTTGGTTGTTTCAAGGTATATAACTTTTTCAGTGAATTGTCGTTTGGTGACTAGCTCTTTATTTAGGAAAAATTTTCCTTAATGGTGCTAAAGTGTATGGTTTATCAAGCTCAATGCATTCAATCTTTAACACATTATAGTATTTCATAATGATGTTGTAGACCCTGTGTCAATAAACATTTAATTTTTGAATTTTTATGGTCACTTTATATCGGATCGATTGTTTGGGTTGGCAACCGAAAATTTGCTTGTTCTTGAACGTGATCTATTTCCATCGGTTGGGGGTTTGTCTCCTTTGGACTGAATTATATCTTCTAGATTGTTGAGAATTATTTTGTCCTATTTGTCTGAAGCTAAATTGCTGATAATTCTTATTGTTAGAATTTATGAAATTCTGCTGATTTTGTCCAAATGAAAATTATTGGAATTTTGCGTACTGTTTATTATTGAAATTCAAATTGAGCCAAAGAATTTCTATTTGAAAATTTCTATAATTTTTCTTTGATAATTGTTTTGCTTTTTATCAAATTGTATTAGCAAACCTGTCTCAAGAACGCTAAAGCTCTCTAATAGTGCTTATATTCTACTAATCACTACACTGCTTAAGTTGGGGTGTATCCCATTTAAAAATGTTTTTAGAATTAAACTTCGTTTTAATTGGAGAAAATTCTATAGGCTTTATCCTATCGAATTCATTTTAAATTTAGTTTATCTTAAAATATCTTTAAATTGAAAATATTGACTTACGTTATAGTTTCGTAGTACAATCGCTTGATTGTAAAGGGTGTGGTACGACTCCTTTACTCCAAAATCTTTATGATTCTCTCATTTGCTGCCATGTTGGTGTAGGTCCCAAAGCGCGGATGACACTTGCTCTCCTTTAATTTTGTTTTGACGTGTCGCTGCGTGACGAATTCCAACATTGATGGGTTGTTGAATAAAGGAAGGATCATGTCAATCTCTGATGAACGATGATAAATCTCTGCCGTCAAAGTCCATGATTCTTGAAGTTCCTTCAAAATTCGATCCTGTCATCTGAAGTGGTTGCTGCTCGCCCGATTCATTGCTGATGTATCCTCTTTGATACAACTGAACTGTTGTTGTTGCTTTGTATGGTGCACTTCGTCTCTCTGCGTCTTCTGTGTGGGGATTCATCTTTAATCCCATTTTCCCGGTAATGTGATGGGCGGAATGAAGCATTCTTCGCCTTCACAAATTGTAATCCTCGGAGTCGCTCTCCGACGTTCCAGATAACTTGTGTAGAAACTTAAGTTTCTTAAACTTGGCTATCTGTGCCGACCGACTTATATATTTATATATATATAAGAGATCTTTAAAATGGGAGCTAATCTTAGGATTTGCTTTCCGTTGCTAAGGCTTACGAAACTTCAAAAGCTTCCGTTTTTAGTATCGCTTAACTTTGCAGTTTGTTTTACCGCGCCAGTTTTGGTTGTTCGAGCGGAGGAAAATAAAAATGCCGACGATGTTACTTCGTGACATTATATTTTATTCTGTTTCTTTTTCAAATTATGTTCTGCATATATAACTACTAAAGTGATTACAATTTTCTTAATCTATTTCTTTGTTTTTCTATTTTCTTATGAAATACAATATTTGTTAAATGTAATCTTATTTTCTATTGAATGCAAACAAACATGATTGTGTGGTTTACATTTTAAATATGATTTTTGGCATATGACCGCCACTACTGGCTCGGATGTAGTCCAACCTGGACGTCCAATTTTCGATGACTTTTTCCAACATTTCTGGCCGTATATTTGCAATAACACGGCGAATGTTGTTTTCCAAATGGTTAAGCGTTTGTGTCTTAGGCGCATAGACCAATGACTTTACATAACCCCACAGAAAGTAGTCTAGTGGTGTTAAATCTCAAGATCTTGGATCAAATTCACAGGCCCAAAACGTGAAATTAGGCGGTCACCAAACGTGTCTTTCAATAAATCGATTGTGGCACAAACTGTGTGACATGTTGCGCCGTCATGTTGGAATCACAGCTTCTGGACATCGTGATTGTTCAGTTCAGTTAGTAATCATGGATCTATACCGATCACCATTGACTGTAACGTTCTGGCCATCATCGTTTTTGAAGAAGTACGGACCAATGATTCCACCAGCCCATAAAGCTCACTAAACAGTCAGTTTTTCTGGATATAACGGTGTTTCGACATACACTTGAGGATTAGCTTCACTCCAAATGCGCCAGTTTTGTTTGTTGACGTAGCTATTCATCGAGAAGGGCGCTTCATCGCATCTAGTGCCCGATACCTATTCTGCACAGAACCATTACTTTCGAAATAAAATTGCACTGTTTGCAAGCGTTGTTCAGGCGTGAGTCTATTCATAATGAATTGCCAAACCAAACTGAGAATAAATCACTTAACAGCTGTTAAATCGGTTGTCATATTGAACAGTAATGCCAACTTAAAGTTCTACTAGTTAGTAGTACCGGTATACACGGTACAAGGCCAACCGAAAATTTGAATATCTTTTATTAGGTATATGGAAAAAAGGTGTAATATTGCTCCGAGTTTATCTATTTTTTGGAATTACTACAGTTTATTAACAGAAACCGATTCTCTCTGAGTTTCATTAAAGTACCTCACATACCATTAAAAATATAAAAGGAGTAAAGCGAACTAACATAGATGTTTGAAATTGCTGAAATACGTTATATGGGGGCTAAAGCAAGTCTTTACCCGCTTTTATTAGGCATAAAGATGCACCGTTAGCAGAAAAACACGCTCACTTAATATTGGACAATATCGGTGAAAAGTCAGCTGGGAGTTCGAAAGTCTTTCTATTAGGTATATATGGCGCTAAGGGAATTATTGATCTGATTGAACCTATTTTTGGCATACAGGTATACTATTGTATTATCAGGCAAAATCTCTCCTAGTTTCAATTATCTCTACATATATTTAACACATTGACCGATATTTTCAGTAACAAGTCAGCCATAGACTTTACTCTTATAAAGCCTTATCCTGGATGTAGTTATTTTGTTATTCATTAATCCCATTTTTAGTAGTTTTCTACCAAGGAACACGTCTACAAAATTTCAAGACAATATTAAAATTTTTACTAAAGTTACCATATCTTTGCCCAAAACTCGGGTCAGTTTGAAATCTCTCTGAGATATAGCATTTCCCCTAAATGTAGGCGGTGCCACGTCCATAGTCCAATTTTTAAAACTGCTCCTATAAAGTTCTTCTTACCATCATGGTTTTGCAATTTAATGCTTGTGGCGCATTTATTCAGTAAGTTATCACACTTTTAGTGGTTTTTACCATAACCGATATATTGGAAGTGGGCGTGGTTATTATCTGATTTTACCCATTTTCAGAAAGTTTGAAGAATTGATAAAATGATTCCTCCTTATCAAATTTAGCTGATATAGCTTAAGCGGCTTGCAAGATATGTACATATAAACATTTAGGAGCCATGTCCGCTTTTAAACATTTTTTAGCCCACAGGTGTCCCTGGCTATTGCGATCTCCTTTACTGAATTATTTTGTATCTCATATCATCATAAAGTGCCATAACACTTTTTAAGTTTTCGTTTAATGGCGTTTTGTGGGCGTGGCAATGATCCAATTCCGCCCGTCTGCACAACCAACCCGCTTAAGTGCCAAGGAATATGTGTACCAAATTTATCACAATATCTCAAATTTTACTAAAGTTATCGCTTTTACGGACAGACGAGAAGACAGTCACTCGGAATTCAATTCGTCTTATCATTCTGATCACTTTTTTGTAAATACATATGTACATATATGTACTAGCTGACCTGGCAAACGTTTTTTGCTGTATACATATTAATGAATAGAGAAGGCGCAAATGTTAAATCAAATCTTTTTGAGTACTAATTTGTAGTTTTCACACGAGGGAACATCGGAAAATACAACTTCGAAAAGAAAAATACAAATTTAATTTTACTTTTTTTCTGTGTGAAAATCCAACTAACTTTGCTTTTTATTTGGGAGGTTATTATTAAGGTTTTTTTAACAATGAATACTTGCGATACCGACTAGAGGGTTTAGATAGTGCATTTTATTTATATTTACAGTCCATCATTTTCGTCCAAAGGGAATTCAGACGGGATTATAGCGGCACCCCCAAGTAGATGGACCATTATGAGGTTGGTAAATATAGTTTCCGGATCTGGAAGTATCGCATAAAGACCGTACCATCGATATCCGTACATTCATGTTCAATAAACAATCGCGGCTGTTGCATCATCAATTCAAGCCAAGAGTTTCAACTCGCAACTTATCTCTGCTGATTTTGTCCAAATTGAAAATTATTGGAATTTTGCATGTACTGTTTATTATTGAAATTGCCAAAATTGTGAGCCAAAGAATTTCTATTTGAAAAATTTCTATAATTTTTTCTTTGATAATTGTTTTGTCTTTTATCAAATTGTATTAGCAAACCTGTCTCTTGAAGAACGCTAAAAGCCTCTCTAATAGTGCTTATATTTCTACTAATCACTACACTGCTTAAGTTGGGGTGTATCCCATTTAAAAATGTTTTTAGAATTAAACTTTCGTTGTTAATTGGAGAAAATTCTATAGGCTTTATCCTATCGAATTCATGTTTTAAATTTAGTTTATCTAAAATATCTTTTAAATTTTGAAAATATTGACTTACGTTATAGTTTCGTAGTACAATCGCTTGATTGTAAAGGGTGTGGTACGACTCCTTTACTCCAAAATTCTTTATGAGTTCTTCTCTCATTTGCTGCCATGTTGGTGTAGGTCCCAAAGGCCGGATGACACTTGCTGCTTCTCCTTTAATTTTTGTTTTGACGTGTCGCTGCGTGACGAATTCCAACATTGATGGGTTGGGGTTGAATAAAGGAAGGATCATGTCAACTTCTCTGATGAACGATGAT